CCCCACCCTCAGCGCACCCCCTGTGGCGTCGACGAAATACCACGCCTGCCACGCCCTGGGAGGTTGCAGCGCACATGGCCCCCACCCTCAGCGCACCCCCTGCGGCGTCGAGGAAATGCCAAGCCTTCCACGCCCTGGGAGCCTGCAGCGCATAGGGCCCCCACCCCCAGCGCCCCCCCTGTGGCGTCGGCACGCGTGCTGGGCGCGCCACGCGCGCCAGGCATCCCTGAGGCACGAGCGTGCCAGGCACACCGGGTGCGCCAGATGCGCCACGTGCTCCACGTGCGCCAGGTGTGCCGCACACTCCAGCCAGACCAGGTGCGCCATGTTCGGGGTACGTGCAGAGTGTGTCAGGTGTGCCTGTGCACGTGGCAGCACACATCGGGAAACATGTCGGCTCCCACCGTTCTTGTCGAACACCAATGCCTATCATTGTTCCTGGTGGGCTTGCACACAGCAGGCTATACGCCACCACTTTGCCGTCCGTTTCAGAAACCACTTGACAGTGATCGCGGGGTTGCTGCGCATGATCCAGTTTTAGTCGCGAGGTGCATTGTGTAGTTTTTTGGTCAGGGATAGTGGTCCTGCGCACAGTTGGCAATATGCTGACACCCCCGCCGCCCCTGTCAACAAAAGCAATACACAGTGCTCGCGGGCCTCACGAACATGTATTGTTGTTAGACAAGGATGGTGGGGGTGTGGGGAGTCGCATCAGGTTGGTTGCGCATGCTCTGAAGGTCGGGGCAGCGTGCACTCTGTATTGTTTTCCGACAGGGATGATGGGGGTTGGCACGTCTCGGGTTGGCCCACTGTTGGGTGGGGGAGGGGGTGGTACATTGATAAGGAGCACTTATCAATCCCTCCCCCGAGCAGGGGAAGGTGGGGGAATAAAGACAAACATAGTCAAAGCACCTACGTCCAGATGGCCGGTGGTGGGATTTTCATATTTTAATCAACAGCGATCAATCCATGTATGCCATCGAACAACACGTTTATTTAGACATTGTGGCGTTTCTATAAACAATTTTCCTCAGTAGTACACGTGGCCACCACCAGAAATTGGCACGCGCCCTCCCTGGCCTGGCCGTCCAGATCATGTGAAACATATCGCCTTCCTTAGCTGTCAAGACCAGGGAACGCACACGCGTGTCTCATGCAAGTTCGCGCAAGCTTGACAGCAGGCAGGAACGATCCCAGCTTACTGATGCCGCAATATGAGAATGCGGGGACAGACCATAACCCGCGCAGCTGCGGACGAGAGGTATGGGGGCTGTGGTTGGCGCTGCCAGTTTGCGGGGCTCAATTACGCTACCGAGGAACCCCACATACCAATTTTGTTTCCCATGTGTACCATCGGTGCTTCTGCTGCTTCTCCTCCTCCTCCTCCTCGGTGCCCTCCTTTTGCTGCTGTTTTTGCTGCTGCTTCTGCTGCTGCTGCTGCTTCTGCTGCTGCTGCTGCTGCTGTTGCGTCTGCTGCTGCAGCTGCTGCTGCTGCTGCCGCTGCTGCTGCCCCACCTCCCCGTCTTCCTCCTCTTCGTCGTCGTCGTCGTCCTCCTCCTCCTCCTCCTCCTCCTCCTTCTCTACCTCCTCCTCCTACCTCCCAGCGCACCCCCTATGGCGTCGAGGACATGCCACGCCTGCCACGCCCTGGGAGCCTGCAGCGCATAGGGCCCCCACCCCCAGCGCACCCCCTGTGGCGTCGAGGAAATGCCACGCCTGCCACGCCCTGGGAGCCTGCAGCGCATAGGGCCCCCACCCCCTGCGCACCCCTTGTGGCGTCGAGGAAAATGCCACGCCCTGCGAGCCTGCAGCGCATGGGGCCCCCACCCCCAGCGCACCCCCTGTGGCGTCGAGGAATTGTCACGCCTGCCACGCCCTGGGAGGCTGCAGCGCATAGGGCCTCCACCCCCAGCGCACCCCTTGTGGCGGCGAGGAAATGCCACTCCTGCCACGCCCTGGGAGCCTGCTACGCATAGGGCCCCCGCCCCCAGCGCACCCCCTGTGGCGTCGAGGAAATGCCACGCCTGCCACGCCCAAGGAGCCTGCAGCGCATAGGGCCCCCCCACCCCCAGCGCATCCCCTGTGGCGGCGAGGAAATGCCACGCCTGCCACGCCCTGGGAGCCTGCAGCGCGTAGGGCCCCCGCCCCCAGCGCACCCCCTGTGGCGTCGAGGAAATGCCACACCTGCCACGCCGTGGGGGCCTGCAGCGCATAGGGCCCCGTCCCCAAGCGCACCCCCTGTGGCGTCGAAGGAAGGCCCTGTGTGCTATGCTGTGCTGTGCTGTGCTGCTGTGCGGTGAGCTGTGCGGTGCTGAGTTGAGCTGAGCTGAGCCGAGCTGAGCTGAGCTGTGCTCGGCTGTGCCGTGCTGAGCGGAGGTGAGCTGAGGTGTGCTGATCAGTGCTCTGAGGATGAGGGGAAGAGTGAAGTGTGTGTGAGAGAGAGAGAGAGAAATACATAGAGAGAGAGAGAGAGAGAAAGACAAAGAGAGAGAGAGAGAGAGAAACGGAGAAGGAAGTGTGCGGGTGAGACGCGGGTGCGGCGCGGCAGGGAATTACGCTACCGAGGAACCCCACATTCGTAGTTTAAGTCGCGTGTGTTCGCAGACCCTCGCCGCCCATCTGAACCATTGCAGTCTTCATCGCCAAACATGGAGGCGGCAGCGCATCCATGGCGATTTTGGGGGGCATGGCTGCCGCGCACGTCGGCCGGTGCTCTGAAGTAGGACTACAGGAGCGCGCATGCGTGACAGCGCAGGCGCGCCGTGCCGGCTTGAGCCAAGGTGTTTCCAGATTTTGACAAAACACAAGTCCCCACCCCAAGCGCACCCACTGTGGCGTCGAGGAAATGCCACGCTTGCCACGCCCTGGGAGCCTGCAGCGCACAGGGCCCCGACCCCTAGCGCATCCCCTGTGGCGGCGAGGAAATGCAACGCCCTGGGGGCCTGCAGCGCATCGGGCCCCCACCCCCAACGCCCCCCTGCGGCGTCGAGGAAATGCCACGCTTGCCACGCCCTGGGAGCCTGCAGCGCATAGGGCCCCCACCCCAGCGCACCCCCTATGGCGTCGAGGAAATGCCACGCCTGCCACGCCCTGGGAGCCTGCAGCGCATAGGGCCCCCACCCTCAGCGCACCCCCTGTGGCGTCGACGAAATACCACGCCTGCCACGCCCTGGGAGGTTGCAGCGCACATGGCCCCCACCCTCAGCGCACCCCCTGCGGCGTCGAGGAAATGCCAAGCCTTCCACGCCCTGGGAGCCTGCAGCGCATAGGGCCCCCACCCCCAGCGCCCCCCCTGTGGCGTCGAGGAAATGCCACGCCTGCCACGACTGTCGTGCATAGCGGCCGAACTCAGGGGCCACCCCCTGCGCACCCCCTGTGGTGTCGAGGAAGTGCCGAGCCTGCTGTGCCTGGACGACCGTCGTGCATAGCGGCCGCGCTCAGGGACCACCCCCTGCGCACCCCCTATGGTGTCGAGAAAGTGTCACGCCTGCCGTGCCTGGACGACCGTCGTGCGTAGCGGCCGAGCTCAGGGCCCACCCCCAGCGCACCCCCTGTGGCGTCGAGAAAGTTCCACGCCTGCTGTGTTTGGACGACCGTCTGTGCTGTGCTGTGCTGTGCTGTGCTAGCCTGTGCTGTGCTGTGCTGTGCTGTGCTGTGCTGTGCTGTGCTGTGCTGTGCTGTGTAGTGCTCTGCTGCTTTGTGCTGTGCTGTGCTGAGATGGGTTGTGCTAAGCTGTGCCGTGTGTGTGTGTGTGCGAGGGTGTGCATGCGTGCGGCTGTATGTAGACGCGTGTCTCATGTACTTGCCGTGCATGTTGTTGCATGTGTTGAGCGCGGGTGGGGAGATGAAGAAGAGGAGGGGAAGACTGAGGTGTGAGTGTGAGTGTCGCGGGTGCGGCGCGGCAGGGAAGAAAACCAGAACCCCACGAAGCATGTGGGGAAGAAAACCAGAACCAGAACCCCACGAAGCATGTGGAGAAAAACAGATTTGAAGAAGCCCGCCGCAGGCGCCGATGATTGACGCGTTGAGCAACGAGTCCTCCGCAGGCCCGCTTTTTACCTCAAAACAATGTGGGTGCGCTGCGGGCGGGTCGTGGGTGGGTCGCGGGTGGGTCGCGGCCGGGTCGCGGGCGGGTCACCGGCGGGTCGCGGCTCACTCTGATAATTGTTTAGTTGCTCGCGATCATTCGGATAGTCACTGACCACCGATAGCGGTGATCATCATGCGGGCGAAGCCCCTCCCTCCAACCTTCTGGGGGACCCTGCAGTCCCACGAAGTCTAGGGCCGCGAAGTGGGACAATCGAGGTCCACTCAGCCGCCTACTACAACATGGGCCGCCGGAGAGTGCACAGACCAACACCATGGCTCCAGACTGCCTGACCCGGATAGCTGATCATTCCCCAACTGTGCCACGGCAGTAAGAGTGAGGAGCAGGAAGAGTGAGGTGCTCGAGGAACGGCGGACGAGATGGGGGGGAAGGGGCGGCTGCGACACATGCTGCATGCAGCTGGCTTCGGCCTCCTCGCCGGGCACTTTCCGCCGCTGGCGCTGGGAGCCCGAAGGCGTAAGGAAAGCGGGCTGCAGGCAGCTGATTCACTACCACCACGGTGCCACCACCCCCGTTGAAATCCCCCTTCTTTCGTCCCCCCCAGGAGCAGGAGGAGGAGGAGGAGCAGGAGGAGGAGGAGCAGGAGCAGGAGCAGTAGGAGGAGCAGGAGCAGGAGCAGGAGGAGCAGGAAGAGTTCGAGGAAGTTGAGTGGAAGTGGCGGACGCGGAGGAAGCGGAGGAGGGCGGAGGAACTCGGTGGAGCTGGCGACGTATACACACACACATGCCACCAGACCGCAGACGCAGCAGTCGCGGGGAGGACCGCGGAGGGAGCGGGGGACGCAGCCGAGCTCGGTGGAGCGCGAGGAGCTCGGAGGAGGCGCGCGAGGAGGCGAGCGGGAAGCTCCGCGCCGCCGCCCCCCGCGGCGCCGCGGTGGCGGCGGCCATCCGAGGCGCTGGCGCGCCGCGTGCCGGCACCGCCCGGCTGGGACCTGGCCGGCTTCCCGCGGGCGGCCTGCTTCGGGGGCTGGCTGCGCGCGCTGGCGTGGAGGCGCGCCGCCCGCCCGCGGAGGGCGCCGGCCGCCCAGAGGCGCTCGCGGCGCGAGAAACAGGGGCGCCCTCGAGGGCGCGAGGTTTTTCTCGCGCTCCGCGGTTCGGCGCCGCTTCCTCCTCGTCCCCCGCTTCTCCCCTGGGAGGCGGCGCGAGAGAGCGCGAAGTTTTTGTTCGCGCGGCGCGCGTCGCCGAGCGCGAGGTTGGGAGCCTTTGGAGAAAGCGCGCGCCGGGGAAGCTCTGGTTTCGGGCCGCGTGCGGCCTCCGGGGGCCCCCGTCGCCGAGCCCCAGGGCCGTGGACACGAGAGACGGCTCGGGGCGGGGAGAGGCGGCCCGGGAAGAAGGGAAGGGGTCAGGTCTTCTGCAGGACCCCGCACGGGGCAAAGTCGCAGCAGGTGTAAGCCGGGCCTGTCCCTCTACTGGAGGAAGGTTCCGTGTGGTCGGGCCCCCACTATACGTATGTCCGCTGCGGACTTCGCGATGCGGCCCAGCTCAGGCCCTGACACCCGCTGGTACAACCTGTCCAATCCGCGGCCTCAGGCCCCGACCGCTCCCCCGGAGGTGGCTCTTCGCCCCGGATCTGTTTTTGACACTGCGATGGTCCCAATAATTAATCAGCACGAACGAGATGGGTACGGAAAGAATGGGTACGATGCCCAACAGCAGTTACTGTCCACTTTGAACAGGACTCGCTGTCCGCGCCGCCGCGGCCTGAGTCCATTCGAGACAGAAGGCCGCCTGCCCAACAGCGGCCGCTGTCGGTTTGGGACTACATTCCTTGGTGGGCATTGTACTTTTTTCCGTACCCATTTCGGGCTTTCAAAAGTATGGAAGAACGGCCGGATTGAACATGTGACACCGCCGCAGATTCTTTAGGCCCGTCTGCGGGCAAGAATTTGTCCATGACCCGCTGGGTCTGGCAGTTCCAGGTTCCCTTCCCCGGAAGCGGGAGGCGCAGTGGATATGGACAAAACTCTGGCCCCTTTCCCTTGAGGCTCGGCGCTCCTATCCATAGCCACTGCGCCTCCGCCTCCTACGCGCCGTTGGGGTGTTGCTGGAAGTGCCCCCCCGGCCCGAGGTGCCCCCAGGATTTCCAGGGAGGCTCCCCGCGGCCTCCAGAGCACCCCCCACGAGGCCCAGAGGGCCCCAGGGGCTCCAAAGTGGAGCGGCAAGCCGGGGGCAGCTTGGGCCAGCCAAGAATCCCTGGACGTCCTGGGGTCTCAGGGTTGGGTTTCTCGTGGAAGATTTCTTGTGGTCGGGCCCCCACTGTAGCCCTATTCGACGAGCGCGTTCCACTACTCGCAAAGTAACTACTCGCAAATGGCCTGGATCCCCCGCGGGGGACCTACGATCAATTACATTCAAGCAGACATGTGTTTTTTCTGACGTTTGCGAGTGGGCACTTTGCCAGTAGTGGAACGCAACGCGCTCGGCGATCCATCGCTGGTGCAGCCAGCTCTGCCTCCCGCCGCCGACCGAGCAGTGCGAGGGCGGCGGCGAGGGCCCCGGCGCGCAGGCTGCACGGCGCCTACGCCCACGCGGCGCCCCCCGCGGAGCTGCCCGCGGCGGCGCTGCTGCATGTGGCGCCGCTGCTGCGGGCGCTGCAGGCGGCCTCCCCCGGGCTCTTGCCTCCCGAGGAGCTGGGCGCCCTCCTCGGCGAGGGGCTCGAGGTGTGCACCTCCTCCTCGTCCTCGTCCTCCTCCTCGGTTTCCTCCTCGTCCTCCTCCTCGTCTTCCTCCTCGTCCTCCTCCTGCACGTCCTCCTCGTCCTTCTCGTCCTCCTCGTCCTCTTCCTCCTCCTTCTCGTCGGGTCTCTAGGTATACACCGCGTTGTTTGGTCGGTCGAGGGGCGAAGGAGCTTGTCGAAGGAACTCGGTCTATAGACGTTCCACCGTCACCTCGAAACTCTGTTCAGAGCGCGCCCTGGGAGAGGTCCTCGGAGTATCCGTACCGGCAGTGTTTTTCATAACGGGCCTGAGATCCGTCACGCTGCAACGCGCCCTGAGGTCTTGTGGTCGTAGCTTTATCACAACCAGCGCTTCCACCGGGTTTTTGCCCCAGGGACCCTCGCAGATCGATCCGGCTCGAGTGACGATGCAGAGTGATGGCGTCTAGGGTTCCGGTCGTGATTTCTCGCGACATCGCATTTGTTTTGGCAACGTCAGATCTGAGGGTATACACCACCAGACGCCGAGCGCGCTCTCGGAGGGGCTCGAGGTACTGTGGGCCTCCCAGGCGGGGTCAGACTGGATGGGGTCAGAGGATCGCGCCGTATCGGCGATGCAGTCGCGACGCGCCGACGCCGCCGATGATGCATCGCCGATACGGCGCGATCCTCCGACCTTATCCCTTCGGCCCCCATCTGGGGAGCCTCTAGGTATGCACCGCGTCGTTCTGTCGGTCGAGGGGCCGGAGCGCTCGGCGAAGGAACTCGCTTCCAGACGCCCCAGGGTCCCACAGCCTCAGAAGCTGGGGCATCCATGCGCCGAGCTCCCTGGCCGACGAGACGACGCGGTGTATGCATCGAGCCCTTCCCACCCTCCCGCTTCGAGGCTGGAGGGCCGGGTCACCCGCAGGGTCTCGGAGGAGGACACAAGCAACCGTTGCCGCCATCCTTGCCTCGTCTGTGCCTCCAGGCCATCGTCGCCACGGCCAGACTCGCCTCGAAATTCTGTATGCTATGCCGTCCCTCTTTTCTCGCTCCTCCCTCCCTCCTGCTGCTGCTGCTGCTCCTCCAATCGCGCATGCTGTGCATTATGAGACAGCCGACGTGCAGTCGCTCCCGCAAAGCGGCGAGTTCAGGCTGGCATTGTCTTTTGCCCACGCGCTCCGGCGTATGGCATTTCGTTCGTTCGTTCGCGCTCCCGGAGGGGTCCTGTGAGTCGCGGCATCCGTATCTGTTGGCTTCTCTAGAGTCGGGGGTTCGTAGAAGACCAGGCCTCCCACACGATGTCCGACCAGCTGGGGTCGGAGGGTCGCGCCGCGTCGCCGATGCATCGGCGATGCGGCTGGATGCGACGTCGGGCTCGTTTTTGTCGACGGCGCCGATGCATCGCCGACCCCATCTGCTCGGATCCGATTTTGGGATGCTTCTGCAGAGGGGGGAGTACTCCAATGTGTGGTTAGGGAACGCACCCAGCTGGATGCTCACGTTGCCTTCTTCCAGTGGCCGTTCAGATAGATGTTCCTCCAATCCCGCCCCGTCCCTTTACCCCACTTGTGCACTTCTCGACAGGGGTGCCAGGATAACCGCAGGAGGTCTTTATTTTTGAAGACCCCTATTGTTTCTTTCGTCGGGGAACAATCTCCGCCCCTCCTCCTTCTGCTGTTCCTCCTCCTACTCCTCCTGCTCCTCCTCCTCCTCCTCCTCGTCCTCCTGCTCCTCCTCGTGGTCGTTCTCGTCGTCGTCGTCGCGGCGAACATGTTTTTCCTTCCATTGTTTGGCAGCTTTGACAATGTTGTGTTCTTTTTCCCAGAAATAATCCATTGTGGGCTACCCTAGACGCGGGAGGATGCGTGAGCATCGTTTCATAAGGATTGTAGTAGTAGTCGTGAATGTAGTCGTGGTGGCAATTGCGATTGTAGTCGTGATTGTAGTCGCGATTGTAGTCGTGGTTGTAGTCGTAAGCGTAGTCGTCGTCGTCGTTGTCGTCGTGGTTGCGGTGGAGATTAGTTCCCTTATATTATTGGGCGGGCTGCATAAGGTTTTGGGGCTCGTCTTCCTAGAGAAAAAAACCTTGTTGGCAAGCCTATCCGCGGGAGGATTTGTGAACATCATCTCCTTAGTCATGCAAAATAACCAGTAGTTGTGGTTGTAGTCGTGACTGTGATCGTGACTGTAGACGTGTGTAGTCGTCGTAGTAGTCGTAATCTTAGTTGCGGTTGCAGTCGCAATCGTAGTCGTAGTCGTCGCCGTCGCGGCGGAGATTAGTTCCCCCCTTATCGTTGGGCGGGCTGGAGAATTTTTGGGGGTTCTTTCTCCCAGGGAATAAACCATTGGGGGCTATCCTACATGCGGGAAGATTTGCGAGCATCTTGTCGTGAGGATTGCAACGGGAATTAGTGGTTGTGGTTGTAGTCGTGGACGTAATCGTTATTGTTATTTTGATTGCAAGTCGTAGTCGCAACAGTACTCGTGGTTGTAGTCGCAACAGTACTCGTAATCGTAGTCGTAGTTGTAATGATAGTCGTAGTCGTCTTCGTCGTCGTCGTGGTTGCGCGGCGGGTGCCGCGGATGAACAATTGTTGTCCATTCTTATTTGTGGTGTGGGGCCCCAGTCCGTCAATGAGATCTCCAAGATAATCAGCTTCCAACTATTGGGGCATTTCCAAAGACTTACCGGGTTCAATCATTCGCTCGCGCGTCGCTGTCTTGGCCGCAATGGTGCCCTTCGCCGGAGCGTCCCCACGAAGGCGAGAAGATCGCGGGGCCCGCGTCGCGCGGCGCAGTGCGCGAAGTCTGGTGGTCCAGGGGAACATTGAGGTTCGGTCCATCATGCCGCTTCAGGGGTTAAAGTGAGCGGGGTGAGTTGCTCTTCCTCCTACTCTTCATTAATTATCCTCCTCCTCATCTTCTCCTTCTCCTCCTCCTCCTCATCATCATCATCTTCATCCTCTCCTCATCCGCCTCGCCGTCGTCGTCGTCGTCGTCGTCGTCGTCGTCGTCGTCGTCGTTGTCCTAGTCGTCGTCCCCCTTTGGGCCGTTATTCGACGTGTTGGGGGCCGCTATTCGACGCGCTGCGAGGCGTTTGATGAATTCGCGTGCCCCGTGCTCATGAAGTGTGTGCCAGACGTTGGGGCAATCTGGAGCCAGCTCTCTGGCAGTGAATTTGATCTGTTGTGAGCGCTCCGGCCCCAACCCGCAGCTTCCTGCAGGGAGCGCGATGCGGGCCGTAGGCGCACACGCGGCTTGTGGCTCCTGGTGCGCCTCCCGAGGCGCCCTCCCTGGCGCGCCGCGGCTGAACTCCCCTCGAAGTTCCAGCCAGAACGCATCCCACGAGAGGTCCCGGGGTCCAGGATCGAGGGTCGAATTTGGAGGAGGCGAGGGCGGAGGTCTGGGGATTGCTGCCGAAGGCGGGTGTGTTTTGAATATTTGTTCGCCCCCCTCGTGGGCTGGAGGGGGACTTCCCATCGCCACTGGAGGGGTACGGAGGGCGGGCGACGTTTAGGAAGAGAAGGAGAAGAAGAAGGAGTAGGAAGAGGACCAGAGTAAACCCAATCTGCATCACCGACACTGCAACGCGCTTACCCGTTCCAAGTCATCTCCGCAGAAGCCCCCAACACGGATTCCTCGTCTCTGCGGGAAGTGCCCCCATGAGACAAGCGTCGAACGGTCTTGCCATTGCTATACAACCGAGGGTTCCCCGACATACACACTTACAGTCCACATGTCCATGTATACGGACGGCGACGAGGGAGGATCATATAATTTACGGACGTGTCCAACGAGAGTTCTTCTTGGACACGTCAGAGGACATTCTTAATCTGAACAAGTGTTCAAGTGGCAGCGCCTGGTGATCAAACCTAAGGGGGTCTCAAGCCACAGCCTCGATTTGAAAAGGAGCCGCACTTCATAATTGTAGCTGGTGCCCAATGGTCCTAAACGGGAAGGAGGTGTCTGGCGAAACTCCCAGCCCGCCCTGCCAACACGCCTGGCGGTCAGAATATGAGGCTTTTGCAAGGGAAAGGTATGAAGGAAGAAGAGACGAGGGACAACAAATAGACGCACGAGAAGGAATGGGATGGTAGTCTTTCCAGCTGACTGGGAGGTGCCTTGTGGTGGTGCTGGTCTCTTCGGGGCACTCCGAGTGTTCCACACGGCGCCCGCGCGCGAACGAACCGGTAGGTGAAGGTGAGGTCGAGGAGGGTTGGGAGGAGGAGGCGCGTCAACCTTTGTAGTTGCCCAGGAGGTTCGAGGAAACGCAAGCATGGATAGTTGCGCGTGGGTTAGCGACGGGTCCTGCTTCCATGGGGAAATCGGCGCGCTCCGTCGCCAGACCATGCGGCATTGGCCTCGTGCTTCGGTGGGTACCTGATGGCCATCGGACCATCCAGCCACCGTGCCTGGGCTGTGGGTATGAATCTCACGGGAGGTTCGTTTGGAGCTCGTGGGAGGCTTCTCGCAGGCCTCCTGGAGGCAGTTTGGTCTCCTCTTGGGGGCCGTTTCCGGGCCTCTCGGGGGCATCTTGGTGCCTCTTGAGGGCCTTTGGGGGCCTCCTGGGCGCCTCTCGGGGCCTCATGGCGGCCTCTTGGGGCGGATGGCTTGGATGTTCGGTTCGTGTTCCCTCTTTTGTGTCCTTTTGGGGCCGTCTTTTGGCTCTCTTGGGCCGTTTTGGGCGCCTCTTGGGCTGTCTTGGGGCCCCTCTGGGCCGGTTCGGGGTCCTCTTAGAAGCCTTTTGGGCCGTCTTGGGGCGGTCTTGGGAGCTTCGAGGGCTGTCTGGCAGCGTCGGGAAGCCGAACAGGCGAGAACGCCAAAATCCTTCAAACACCTGAGGCAAATACATGATTTTGGCCTCTTGGGGCCCTTTTGTGCGGATGCCTCTTTGGGCGTCTTGGAGGCCTCTTGGGCCGTCGTGGGCCCATCTAAGGCGTCTTAGAGCGATCGTTCGGCGACTCGAGGCCGTCTTGGACCGTCTCGAGGGCATCTTAGGGCTGCGCTCTTTGGCCCGAATGCGTCACGCGACAAGATGCGCCAAGGCCCGAGGAAACCGCGCCAGGCCCTGTGAGATTTGTGTCTTTGGGCCCTGGGCCGCTTAAGGACTCCTCAGGAGTGAGGACTGAGGCTTCGGGCCCAGGATTTGAGGACACGCCCACTCGGTGCCCAGCGGCACGTTGGCGGATTTTCCCCGATCCGTGCTAACATGTGCCCGACCAGGAGGAGGTGCTCTGCGGTGGTTCGGGCCACTTAAACATAACGGACCCCCTAACCCTAGGAACACAACGACTGCGTAGCCTAACTTAGGTCCACGATTTTTGGGCTATCTCGAAACACGTGGATGGTTTCGTCTGTGACGTCTGGAAAACAACACCCTACCCTTAGTGATCTTGTCCCTCCTAACTTCGTTCCCCTCCCAAAGGATCAGGGATACGGCAGGTTCGCTTCGTGTCGACCGGCGGCGACCCCAGCGCGGGCTTGTAAGGTTGAACGCCGCCCGTGGCCCAGAATCGGCCCATCCTAACGATCCAGCCTTCCTGAAAGGGCCGATCGTACCAGTTTGAACGATCCCCGCGGTGGCAGGAATTAACGCCGGTCTCGACACGACGCGAATCTGCCGTACGTTCGTTGTTGATTATCGGGGGAGGGGGGCCCTCGCCGTCCTCGCCCCTGTCGAGTCTTCCCCAGGGTGCGCTCGCCCCTCGGAGGCGGAGCGGAGAAGGTGGAGAGGGCCAGGTCCGGGGGTCTGCGCAGGTACGCCGAGGGACCCATGTGCTTTGAAGGATTCGGTTCTGTCGCTGGGGAGACAAGCAATGCCATGAGTGTAAAAACTCGGAGGTCCGTGCGGATTTCTCGGATCGGCGTGGCAGGGGCGGCGCCGGAGGCGCCGCCAGGGGTCTCCAGCGCCGATCCGAGAAGTCCGCGCGGACCTCCGAGTTTTATGCTTATGTTATTGTTCGTTCCCCAAGTCGTCGTCGCTTCGTCGTCGTTTCTTTTTCTCTTTGCCACAGGTCTCTTCCCGGGTGGTACAGCGTTCAGGGGCTTCCGGAGGGCTCCCCGGAGGTCTCCAGAGATTTTTGGAGGGGGCGGGGAGATGGACGAGGGAGGGCGGAGGGGGGTGGGAAGAGGAGAGCAGGAGGGGGCCCTGGGGGCTTCTTAGCTTCATCAGGGCGCCGCAGCCTGCCAGTGACAGAGTTGGATCTCGAGCTCAGAATCACGCAGGGAAACTCAAGTTTTCGTCTCTTGTCGCGAGCCTGAGAATTGGGTCACTGCTACCCCAGGTGTCTGAATCCCTGGTCCAGGGTGGCGGATTGTGGCAACACCGTAGAGGGATCGATGCCGCTGTGTAAGCATTCCTGTTGCTGTTTGCCGCCCTCGTCCTCTTCAAGGTTGACTTTCTCAGTTTCGACAAATCGGTAAGCGACTTGTCGATGTCCTCAGGTTTGGAAACATCGGCATGCGACATGGCTCCTCTTTCGCTCGATCTCTCCTCTCCGATCTGTTCAAGGGCGCTAACTGACAAGGACTCCGTTCGCGCAAACAGCCAGTGCGAGTGTGAGAGCGTTCGACTGGGTGCCTTGGCATGGGGTGCGGGCTGCGATATCGCAAGACAGCCAGCGCAATCGCTGGATTCACGCCTGTCGGTTGTACTTTGCACAGCCTCACGCAAGCCCAGATGCGCAGGGTCGTTTCTGACACCACCACGGTCTGCGAGAAGAGCAGCACAAGCACACAAGCAGAACATGGCAGATCCCTTTTTCTGGCTCTCTCTCTCTCTGTCGTCTCTCCTCCCTCGCGTCTCTCACTCGTCCTGCTTGTGCCGTGGCAGTCGGCTATTGGTTGACTGCTGGCTTGCGTCAGAGCGCCACTCTGATCTTAGTGACTGGCAAGGAGTGACCTGCACCGCTTCGGGAGGGGAAAAAACACACAGGCACAATCAATCGTCGATCCCCAGGGAAATATGGGAAAATATGGGAAGTGGGGGGGAAGACAAAACCCAGAAAATTATTTAAAAAACAGTATGAGGAATCCTGTTATTTGTGCGTATTTATTTGTGTGTCTCAGGGCCCCTTCACCGTTGCTGGCTCGCTCGTCTCTCGCTCGCCCCCTCCTGGCCTGGCCTTCCGAGGTGGAGCTGGCGGCGAAGCTGCGCCTGAGCGCCGACTTCGTGTGCCTCCTCTTCGAGCCCGCCCAGGGCCCCGAAGACTCCCGGACGGGGCGGGCGGGTTGGCCTCCCCATCTCCCCGAGGGTGTCTCTGCTCCGGGTCCGGCGACTCTCTCTCTCTCTCTCTCTCTCTCTTTTGTTTGCTTTCTCTCTCTCTCACGCCATATATATAGAGAGATTTGTATATATATATATATAACCATATATATATATAGTTTATATATATATATAGATACGGATGCATATATGTATATATATATATATATATATATATATATATATATATATATATGTCTACCTGTAGAGATAGATAAAGGCGTATGCCGCGGATGGGCCGGGGACCGCGGCCCCAGGTACGGCAGTCCATCAGACCGTGTCTGTCACAGCCCGAGAGCGCAGAGGATGCTTTCTGAACGGCCTCGGCCGCCGAAGGCTTCCGGGCTGCGCCGGGACGGCCCCAGGCAGGCTGCAGTGGGCGCCCGAGGTATATCTTTTCGGGGGCGGCAAAGAGGGGGGGGATGCCGAGGGGGGAGGGGGATATCATGGCGGGGGCCATGATATTCCCCCAGATGTTATGGCGCCTCCTCTTGTTTCATTACGTCCCTGGCCCCTCCCGCTGGGCTGCGCACATGCCGCCGGTCATGATTTGCACCCCCCCTCTTGGACCCCCCCTCTTGGCCGCTCCCGATATTTTGGTTTCTATGCTTCTGCCTCCAACACCGCCTCAGGACGGACAAGGAGGCCCCCAGGAGGGCCCCGGGGACGGCCTAGCGGGGCTCCATGTCGGCCCCAGGGGCGCCCAGGACGGCCCAAGATGCCGCGCAGACAGCCCCAAGATGGTCTCCAGAGGGAGAGCATGAGCTAAGATTTCGAGTGTTTCGCCCGAGGACAGCCACTGGCAGGCTCCAGTGGGCGCCTGAGGCCCCAGACGAGCACCCTATGCCTTTTCAATTTGTTTTTGGGGTCCTCCACTTTTCGAGTTTCCCACAATCCACGACTTCCCAAAGGCCTCCCACACCGCCTCAGGACGGACAAAGAGGCCCCCAGGAGGGCCCCGGGACGGCCTGACAGGGCTCCATGACGGCCCCACGGACGCCCAGGACGGCCCAAGAAACCTTAAAGACGGCCCCAGGATGGGTTGAAGAGGATGTAGGCTCTCAGGAGGCCCCAAAAGGGCTCGAGGCTGCCACGAGGCTCCAAGGGGACCCCAAAAGGCCCCCACGACGTCCCAGAAGGACCCAAAACAGCTCCCTTGAGGGCGAACGTCAGCCCCCGAGAGGCCCCCGCGAGGCCTCCTTCGACATCCCTCTTGACACTCTCATGGCTTTTGGCCCACTAGCCAGGCACGGTGGCGAGATGGGTCGAAGACTATCCCAGTCTCTTCCGCACACCCCCGACGTCCTTTTTCACATTCAATGCCGTGGCCTTCGCAGCTCCTACATTACCTTACACCTGGGGACCAAAGAGGAGAAGGAGGGTCCGCGCCATCCCACCGGACACTTCACTTCAGCGTAGCGTTTGCCAGGGACGCGTTCACCAGGGTTGGGCCCGCGGCCCCGCTCCGAATGGATTCGGTGTCGAAGGAGCTGCTTGCAACTGCCGCTCTCCTCTGCGAGGCCTTCAAGAGCCCCCCGGATGTCTCCACATGCCATTTGTAGTTAGAAAAAGAGAATGAGGAGGAGGAGGAGGAGGAGGAGGAGGGAGGAGGAGGAGGAGGATGAGGAGGAGGAGGAGGATGAGGAGGAGGAGGAGGAGGAGGGGGGGAGGAGGAGAGGAGCAGGAGGAGGAGGGGAGGAGGAGGAGGAGGAGGAGAGAGGAGAGGGAGGAGGGGGGACGGAGGAGGAGGAGGAGGAGGAGGAGGAGGAGGAGGAGGAGGACGAGGACCAGAATCGGGCCCAGACAACTTTCCGGATTCCCCCCGCTGATCCCTTCCAGAGCCTCCAGGGCCACCCCCCGCCGCGCAAACAGTTCCAGAGGTTGCCAAAAATCGACAAGAGTGGCCTGACAGGGACGAGGACGCCCGAATGAGACGGTTCAAGTTCAAGAGGCCCCGGAGACGTTTTAAGCAGATTCCGCAATGCGCCCCGAGCGGGCCCAGGAGGCCAACCTCGTTTCGTCCCAAATGCAAGCAGTTTGTTTGGCCACGGACCCATCCTTGCTCAGTCATGTATAGCGCAGGGCGCGAGCCTCTCTTCATACACTGCGTGCCGCGGGGCAGTGCGGAAAGATGGTTGTTGCGAGGCACGCGTGCATGGGTGCGCTGAACTCCTTGTGCGGAGCGATCCGCGTGAAGGGTGTGCCGAAGAATTTGGATGCACCCGCGCGAACACGCCCACTAAGGCCACAGGCCTCCTCAGGGCCCGACCCGTGCGAGGCATGTTCCGAACTGGGCGGGGGGATGCCATGCGAAGCTGCGAATTGGTGATGCAAGTGGGGCTCCTTCTGGGGCGTGATTCACTCGACGGGTGTGCCCACATGGGCGGGGGGGCGCTGTGCGAACCTTGTCTCTGGGCCTCTCGGTGGTGGTCTCTGTGGGCACGATCCGCGTGATGGGGTGTGCCGCAATGGCAAGGGGGGGCGCAGTGCGAACCTTGCCTTTTGGGCCGTAGGTGGATATCACTGTGTGCCACGCTCCGTATGAGAGGTGTGCCAAAGTAGGCGGGGGGGCAGGATGCGAACCTTGTCTCTGGGACCGTCCATGGAACTTGTTGCGGGCCACGATCCCCGTGTGAGAGGTGTGCCGAAGTGAGCTGGGCGACGCAACGAAGCTTCCCTCTGGGTGCCACAGATTCAGCTACTTGCGGGGCACGGTCCGCCTGAAGGGCGTGCCATTATGTGAGCCTTATTGTTTGGGACGCAGGTGGAGCTCCCTGTGGGGCGCGATCCCTGTGAAGGGTGTGCCGGCATGGGCGGGGGGATGCTAAGCCGAGCCTGTCTCTGGGGACGCAGGTGAAGCTCCTTGAGGGGCACAATCCGTGTGACGATCTATGTCTTCCGATGCGGAGCAATTTAGACAACGACCAGAGCGCATTAGCACCGAAGCGTACGCGCAGCGCGCGCGTGGTCCTCGTTCAAATATCGCGCGTGGTTTTCGCTTAAGTATCTGAGTATACTTAATGTTTGGAGGAGAGAGAGAGAGAGAGAGAGGGAGAGAAAGCGAGGGAGCGGATAGAGAGAGAGAGAGAGAACAAGAGCGCGGGAGTGAGATAGAGATGATGAGAAAACATAGGAGGAAGAGAGAGAGAGAGACAGAAAGAGAAAGAGAGAGAGAGAGAGAGACAGAGAGAGAGGGAGAGAGCCATCGGGGGGTGGAGGGAGGGGGGAGACGGCATGGAGCTGGGAGGGAGCCGCGGAGCGGGTAGGGGAAGGGCGGGCGAGGGGGGACGGTTGGCGCTCACGTCAGCATGGTGGTGTTCCCCCCCCTCTCCCTTCCCCAGCCAGGCCAGCCACAACTGGGGCCTGGGGGACCCACCGATCTCGACACCCCTCTCGAGAGATCGTCGATGCGATGGGTTCCCCCAGGGGGGGGTAAGGACCGCAGCTCCCGCGGTTCTGGCTGGTCGGTTCCCGACGCCTGCGGCGGTGGAGGCGGGGACGACGCCGACGCCGACGGCAGCGGCGACCGTCGGCGGCGGCGGCGGCGACGCCGACCGCGGCGGCGGCGGCGGCGGCGGGCAGGCTTGCGGACTCGCTCGCCGACGCCTCCGCCTCGCCCGCGGCGAGCGTCGCGCGCAGCGCGCACAGCAGGCGGCCCCGCGCCTGCCGCCGCTCTGGGCTGTGGGCAGCCGCCCAGTGTCGCTGGGGAGAGGGAAGGGAGAACGAGGCAGGTCAAGCAGTGGCGGAGCGTCCTGGCTCGCCTATGGGCCTACCCAGGAGTGTTCTGAGAACCTCTTGTGGTCCGCACGAGATGTTCTGAGAACAGATCTGGCTGAGACTGTCTTGTTTTAGCACATCGGGTTTCTGTTATAATAACATGGCTTCTGTTATTAGAATGTGTTTGGGTTCTCACGGCATTTCTTGGTAGACCTATAGGTATGTTGGGTCGGTCGTGCCTTGCTCAAGTAGGGAGGGAAGGAGGGACGCGAGGGATGTCTTCTCGATGCCCACTGCAGATTTCCCCGATCAGATGGGGCGCGAGGCGTTGACGAGTCGGCAGCAGCTCCCGATCTCGACGGATGGAGCCCCTCGCCGAGCCGTCTCCAGTTCTCGCTCTGCTGTTGCCCAGCGAGATGAATGCACGTCTGCACCAGCTCAGAAAGTCGGGCACCAGAGGTGAAGCAACCGCACCGCTGGCAAATGCACACTGGCGAGCCGTCACTGCAATCGATCAGAGGAGGAGGAGGAGGAGGAGGAGGAGGAGAATGAGGGAAGGGAGGAAGAGGGGGAAGAGGAGGGCGTCGTCGCCGTCGCCGCCATCGCCGTCGCTGGTGGAGTCAACCACACACCAACAACGATTTCCCCGGGCTGATCATGGGACCAGGATCGGTGTATGCGTTTGCCTGGCCAACGCCACTCGGGCGTACGACCGATCTTGGGCCAGGAGAAGTGTTGGTGTGCAGTTGGCACCCTCCTAGTCGTCGCCGTAATCATGGTCGTTGTGGCCGCCATCGTCGTCATCGTCGCTGCCAGGGCCGTTGCCGTCGTCGTCGGTCTTCTCGTCGTCGCCACCGCTGTTCTCGCTGGCGTCGCCGCTGTCGTCGGAGGTTGGCGGATGTCTGCGTAAGTTTTGTGAGGTGATGTTCGTCCTCATCTTGTTTCACCTCCTCGCCCTCCGTCTTCCTCCCTCACATCTCCCCGTCGTTTCGCGTCAGGCTTCTTCGCACCGAGAGAATGTACGTTTCTAAGATTCGCAGACTGACGGTTGCGATCGGCGACCCAGTGCTCGAGTCCACCTTTGTGCAGGTTCTGATTTCTTAGAAAGGACAGGTGGCAGTCTTCACGAGTCCGAGGTTGGCTGGCTACCGTGAGCTGGAGGGGCAAGGCATGGCTGTCCAGAAGTAGCTCAGGTAGCTACGCCGCTGCTTGGACGGTCCCCGGCCGTGCGCGGACGCTTGCCGAGAGTGCATGGCACCGTCGCTGGCGCCCTCCAAGCGTGGCGTGCCGAGAACCAGTTTTTCGGGGGGGCACCCAGCGTGCTTCCCCAGATGGTTGAAGTCTCAGGGGAGCCTGAATTCGCGCGCTTGACCGAACGACGAGGCGTCGACCAGCGTGCCGACACCCCACTCCACATGCTGCGGTCCCCAGCTAGGCAATTGCCCACTGGCAGCTCGGCCACGCTGCCTCTTCAAAGCAGCAATCGGGTTCTGGTAGGTCTTAATACGGTTCTGCCCCCCCCCTCCCCAGTGTAGGCTCCACATGAGGTGCAAATGGCCACACGGCTCCCAGTACGCACAAGCCATTTCGATCCTGTAACCCGAGCTCAGGATCTGCGTGTGGAGAATCCGTAGAGAAGCAAACAGCGTTCCGGGATCATTTCAGGCCTCCTGGGCCCCATTGGATGACTCAGTTTTGCACCCCGCCGCCACCGTCGCCTCATGGACCGTCTTGGCAGCCGCCACCACCTTTCTGAGGGCCGAGGCTCCACTTGCCATCGCGGATGCAGACGATACGGCGCGCCCAATTGCCATCGCGGTTGCAGTGGTCGCACGGCAGCGGCTCTTCTGGCCCCAGCAAGATCTCACGCTGCTTGCCACCAGCGTTACTGGCCATCGAAGTTGGAAGTGCAGGAGCGAGGCCCCTCGAGCACAAGCGGCTACAGACCCTCCACCTCTCCATTGCGCCTCTTCCTGCTCACGCGGACGCTCCTCCCTTCATTGATCCCCTTTGTTCTTCTCTTTTCCAGACTTGGAGGATGAGACGGGAGGATGAAGAAACAGGACAGAGCAGGAAGGTGATGATGAGGAGGTTGATGGGAGCGACCGGGATGAGTAGGAGAGAGGGTGAGGAGGGTCATGAGACAGGAGGACGAGTATCATGATGATGGCGATGTCGAGGAGGAGGAGGAGGAGGAGGAGGACGAGGACTCCCATTTTGGCGCGCTGGTTCACACAGCCACAGGCACTTGCATCTGGAGCACGCTTTGAAAGCTTCAAGACGCTAGATGCTAGAGACCCCCAGGCTCGAAATGCCACCAGGTGCAACCTTTGTTTCCTACCTGCAAGTCGCTCCCGTGCCCAGCCATTCACGAGGGCCTGCGAGTCGAGACTACGGAGGACCCGACCGCGGAGGTCTCCTTCGGCCCGAATCTTCGCCTTCCCCGTCCTCCCCGTCCTCTCCGCCCTCGTCCTCCTCGTCCTACTCGTCCTTCTCGCCGCCGTCGTGGTCGTCGCAGCCGTCACCCCTCGTCGCCCTTGCCGTTGATGGGCCTGTTTCCCACCACCACCACCACCACCACCACAAGTAGGAGGGGGGAAGGAGGTGGAGGATGAGGAGGAAGAAGAGAAGGAGGAGAACCCCCACCCCCCTCCAACTTGTGGTGGTGGCGGTGGAAAACAGGCCCAACAGCCGTCGTCCACGTCCGCGCGGTCGTTGTCCTCGTCGCCCCCGCTTCGCAGCCCCGAGTCCCTCTCGAGGGCCGCCCCCGCCACACCGCTCGGCAGCCCGCCTGCGCATAAGCGGCAGCGCCCCGAGACGCCTGGCGCCGCGACCACTTCACGGCCGTGGCTCCCCGGAGGTCTCGATCCCTTCCTGGGGACCGGACGCTCACCAGCCGTCTCTCGACAGCCGGGCGGGCGGCAACGGGGGGTGACCTGAAGGGGGGGGGGGAAGAAGAGGGCCCTCAAGGGGCCATCCAGGGCCCCATTTGGGGCCCAAAAGGGCGCCGAAGGGGCCCTTCTGGGGGCCTCTTCTTCCCCCCCGCTTCTTGTGCTACCCCCCACAACCACCCGCCCGATTCCTGGGGACCGGACGCTCATCCCGAGCCGTCTCTCGACAGCCCCCGTTGGCCTGGGGCCCCCCCGCCGGAGGCCGATGATGACCCTCAGTATGTCCCGTCGTGTGGTTCCGTCTTTTCCGCGGCGCGACGGTGTCAGGGGTCGTCTCGCCCCCCCGGCGCCAGCCTGGCCTCGGTCGCAGTGGCTCAGTTCCAGGCCTCCTTGATAGGTTCCGAGTAGATGGTGTCAGAGGGTCGCGCCGTATCGTGGATGCATCGGCGATGCGGCTCGATGTGGAGCTCGATTTTCTCCACGATGGCGTCGCCGATGTATCGCCGATGTCACCGGTACGTCGCCGATGCATCGGCGATGTATCGCCAATGTATCGGCGATGCGGCGTGATCCTCCAACCCCATCTACCCGGATCGCATTTAGGAGGCCTCTATCAATGCAGAAACCACGTCGATTGTTCGGCTATGCGAGGATTTCGGTACATACACGCTCCAGCCCCATAGGAAGCTCGGCCGTCTGTACGCCAAACTCCGCCGCAGACCCGACGACGTAGTGCGTACACCACGCCCCATCTGGGTCGTCCCGTCCCCAGAACCCCGACCTCATGTTTCTTTTCACAATGTGGACCCCCAGGCCCGATTCGATTGGATTCCGATTTTCGGGCGGTCCGATGCGGCCCGATGCTCGCATGGCGCTGTTGTGCATCGTGGCGCAGCTGCTTCGATTCGATTCCGACTCCGTGCCGATGCAGCCTGATCCGACACACGTTTCGATCCAACCCGATCTCACGATTCGACGCTGACCTATCCTGCCCTATCATTCCCCCCCCCCTCCCAGCCACCCGCAGAGGTGGGTAGGGGGAGGGTGGAGGGCTTCCTAGAAGCACCCCTGCTTCTGAGAAGGCGCGGGCCTTCTCTATGGATGTAGGGCAGGCGCCTTCTAAGTGACAGCCTCCCCTTTATCCAGCGGTGAAGTCCGAACCCTACCCTCTCCGATCAACGATTCAGGCAACCCGTTGGATTTCGTCGAACACCTGGCGAAATCTGGACCCTACCCCTGCTTCTATCGATTCGGGAGGATCGATGGTTGGTCGGGATAGGGCTCGGATGTCGCCACTTACTTGTGCGCGCCGCCCCCCTCCCCCCTAACTGCCCGGGTGTTGCCAGATGTGCCCTTGGCCCAAGGTGCCCCCAGGATTCACAAGGAGGCCCCCGCGGCCTACAGAGCACCCCTCGCGAGGCCCAGAGGGCCCAGGGGCTCCAAAATGGAGCGAGAAGCTGGAGGCACTTTGGGCCAGGGGCACCTCCATAGCAGTCCCAGACCAAGAGGCGGGCGACGGCCGACGGGCGACGTGACTTCTTGTGCGCCACAGTGGGCCTGCTGGGCCTCGCGAGGTGTGCTCTGGAGGCCGTGTGGGCCTCCCCGTGAATCCCCAGGGGCACCTTGGGCCACCGGCACCCCTCTGGCAGTCCCCGGCCCGGAGACGGGCGACGGGCGACGCCAGGGGCACCTCTTAGCAGTCTCCCGACCCTCGCGCGTGCCGCCAACAGCCCCCCCCCACCGGACGAGGGCCAGCCTCAGCAGCGCGGCGTCGTCGCTCGTGGATGAGCTGCGCGCCCTGCCCGAGGCCTCGCCCTGGCCGTCGCCCCGCAGGGGCGGCTCTGATCGCCGCCGATGCCGCCGCCGCCGCCGATGATGCCAGGGGTGACGTGGAGGGGCGTCGAGGGATGTCCTCCTAGATCCTCCTTGTCCTCCTCCTCCTCCTTCGCCTCCTCCCTCTCCTCCTCCTCCTCCTCCTCCTCCTCCTCCTCCTCCTCCTCCTCCTCCTCCTCCTCTCCTCCCTCTCCTCCTCCTCCTCCTCGG